GAAGAGCACCGAGAATAATTCTCACTCCAGCATAAACAAAGCCACACTGACGATGTGTCAACCACTCCCTCGTATTTTTGTACAATTTCCTTCTTCAATTCTATCATATTTATTATTATTATTATTATTATTATTATTGTTGTTGTTATTATTACTATTGTTATTATTAGCAGAAATGTTTGATTCTTTGCTGTGTTCAAGAGTAAACACATGATGTCACCGTCCAATACCTGTCTGAATAGCCATTCCAATATGCAGTCATGAATGGGTTTACATTATTTATACTGTAGTTTAATAGCAAATAATGAACAAACAAAACACTCACCACACTGGTGGGAGGGCTGGCTGCCAGTTGCGGGGGTCAGAGGGAGGGTAGTAGGGACTCACAGTGGTTGAGGAAGTGGTGGAGGCATTGGTGGAGGCAGTGGTGTAGGCAGTGGTGGAGGCAGTGGTGGAGGCAGTGGTATTTAATAACATACATGTTATTAAACCATAACATTTATGTATTTAGTACAATTTACGACATTTTCATGTATTTTATGATTGTTCATGGTTCAACAAGTTAAGGAAGCAGTATTGTATTATATTTCCCTACAATATATTGGGGCACCAAACATTCACGATTTTTCAACATTCGCGAGGCTCTTGATTCCTTAACCCTCGCGAATGTTGAGGGAGACCGGTATATTAACATAATGTACAACGTTTAATGAGACTCGGTGATTATTATCATTATTATTATCATTACTAATATGGTGTCTCGAGACATAAGATACTCTTGCTGATTGTAATGTGTACCTGCACACCAGCACAGTGTGTAAGTTTATTTAGGTACAGGTGTACATAAGTATAATTATCAGAGTACGTATATATAAAATATGAAATGACTTTTAAAAACACTTGAAATTTTGGAGTTTCCAGACATAATGGAGAGACGTAGTGCTTATGGAGCTCACGAAGAATGTAAACAAACCGGGTGGGGCACGGTGACCGTATTAGTAAGTTAGGTGGGGGGGGAGCCATATAGAGAGTTTTGGTCATAATTTGAAATGACCGTATTAGCGGAACGCCTTAAAGCAAAACGCCGTAAAGCGGGGTACTACTGTACATTGCACCTTTCTTTGGGCTCACAGGCTGCATAAGTTATGTGACAAAATAAAATAGTGAAAAAAACAAGAAATGTTTCAATGCAAGTAAACCAAAGTTTATCGGGTGAGCGGCATTCGTCGCTGTTGCTATACGCAACTCATTTTCTGCCAACTTTACTCCTCTATATCTCGGTAAGTACTGATCACAAAAAAAATTTTGGGGCTTAAAACAGTCAGAAAATTAATCTTAACATTTTCATAAGAAAAAATATATATATATTTTTTTAATATTCTTCGACACCAGGAGACACTTCAGGATTTCGGGTTGCAACAGTCAAAGGGTTAATATTGTTTATTATGTCATATTAGATGAATTGTGATATACATGTATAAATAAGCTGTAGAGTTGATATTAGTGTCATATTGAAGGACTTTCTTGTCCTGTCTCTAGAGACACTCCTGCCACCGCCACAATGCCTAACATACGTAATGACATTTTATTCATACACCAACAAAAGTCTTCAATAAAGGTAAGTGTGATATTATTGACATCTCATTGTTTTCTGTATGTACTGTAAATCTATATTTAATTGGATTTACATTATTTCTTATGGGGAAAATGGATTTGCCAATTGTGAATTTCACCTTTCAGCAGTCTCTCTGGAATGGATTAATCATGAAACTCGGGGGTTCACTGTACGAGCAGATTGAGTTAAGAGTTCGGTCATGGAACAAATTAGACTCATAAGTCAAGGTACCACTGTATATGCATTTTATTGCTCTGGGATGCTTTAAATGTCGTAGTATATTACTTGTGGTTGGGATGGGGTGGGGTGGCCTGGCCTGGCCTTGCTATCATACCAACCACACCTGATTCTGTACAATAAATGCTACTCATCTCACTCTACATTAAGACTTTTAAATATTTTAAGGTAAGTAATGAGTGTACTATGTGTGTATTTTATGTTTTTATTGTTTTTAATGCCTAATTCTATGGCTAACTTAATGTATGTTAGTGTAAACTTGTCAGCTAGCATTTATAATCAATTATAAGTGGGAAAACAGAGTGTTCCACTTTATGGCAGTAGCCTGGAACCTAACCTGCCGTATATATGGGGGCCCTACTGTACTGTCATATCCAAGCTCAGAACACTAGTATCTAATATATTTTTTTATGTGCGCAGCTTAACTTGCTGGCTTGGCTTATTCGGCACGACATGTACATAAACAATATGTACAGTAAACAATATGTAAAATAACCAGAGTGAAAAATGTTGAAATTCCAAACACCATTCCAAACAAAAATGTTGCTAAAATAATGATTAAATTCAGTCAGTATTGTGTTCAGCTACTCAGTGGAGTTTGTTGATAAGTTAAAGTGGAGGTGGGAAGTACAATGCCTGCACTCTAAAGGAGGGGTTTGGGATATTTTCTGCTTAGAGTGACATCTAAATTGTCGTATCTGTGCGCCTCTGGCAAGATAGTTATAGTGTGAATCATGGTGAAAGTGTTTCATTTTTGGGTTGCCCTACCTAGGTGGGAGACAGCCAGCATGTTAACCCTTTGACTGTCACGGCAGTATATATACGTCTTACGAGGTACCGTGTTTGACGTATATATACAGTGGTCCCTTGTTTTCCGTAATTAATCCGTTCCTGGAGGAGCTACTACAAACGAAATTTACGATTTGCGAATCAATTTTCCCCATAAGAAATAATGTAAATACAATTAATCTGTTCCTGACACCCAGAAGTATTAAAACAAAAAAATTTTTTACATGAAATATACATGTAGTACATAAACAATACAATGGGAAATGATGAATGAAACATTAACAGCATAACGCTTACCTTTATTGGAGATTCTTCTTAGTGTATGGGAGACTGGAGGAGGAGAGAGATTGGATTGTTTACGGTTTGGAAGGGGAATCCTCTTTTCCTGCAACACCTCAGGTACCAGTTGCTTTTCTGGGGTTACTTCTCTTCTCTGTTTCTTAATGCCACTAGGACAACCATGAGAGTCACTGGAGTCCTGTCTTGCAAAATAACTGTGGAGAGAGCTCTGTTTCTGGCATCTCTTTAACACTTCCCTAAAATGGCCCAAGACTTTGTCACTGTACATATTTCTCACCTTCTTTACCACAGGCTTGGCACTAGGAGCTTTCTTTCGAGCCATGGTAGCTTATTTAGTACTTGCAAGCACTAAAATGAGTGGAATATTATGAAATATTTCGTAGGAGCACTTGAGGGGACCTTCACTCACTGGTAAACAATGCCAGACTCGCTGGGTAGGGAGGCCTCCCCGGCTCACACCGTGCTTACGCATCCCGGACAAACTACTATTCGCGAGTCAACCTATGAAAAGCGAGTCCATGTTTATACGAAAATACCCCTATGATTGGCGAAATTTACGATTGCCGAGAACTACGAAAAGCGAGGGACCACTGCACTCATAAATTCTAGCGGCTTCAAATCAAGAAGGAGAAAGCTGGTAGGCCCACATGTGAGAGAATGGGTCTGTGTGGTCAGTGTGCACCATATAAAAAAAATCCTGGAGCACGCAGTGCATAATGAGAAAAAACTCCGACCGTTTTTTTTAATTAAAATGCCGACTTTGTGGTCTATTTTCGTATAGTATTTATGGTTGTATTCTCGTTTTCTTGGTCTCATTTGATAGAATGGAAAACATATTATAGAAGTAGAGGTGATTTTGATTGATTTTACTATAAAAAGAACCTAGAAATGGAGCTCAAAGTAGGGGAAATGTTTGATTTTGCCAATGTTCGAAAGTAAACAAATGATGCCATTGTTCAATAAATGTCCAACTAGCCATTCTAATATGCAGTCATGAATGGGTTGATGTTATTTATACAATTATTACAGTATTGCAGTAGTCTGCATAATAGTAAGTCTTCTATTTTTTGTTTGAATAAAAATTCAAAATAGAAAGCAAGAGTAATATCAGAGGGGCCTGGAGACATGACTGATGAGCAAAGAAAATGTTATTTTATAGCCAGGAATGTCTGCATTGTTCATTCTGGACCTTATTTTAAAATTGTCATATTTTTTAGTTTTCGTGAAATTGGCCAAATTGCAAATTTCTGACCACATTATTAGGTAGTTGAAATCGGTAAATGGGCAGTTTCTTGTACTCAATCGATAGAAAAAATGGAGTTCTAAAGAAATAGCTATGAGTTTGGGCGACTGGAACAATGGAATTAGCCGAAAATAGGGCTCAAAGTGGGCGAAATCGCCGATTTGTAAACAGCGCCGAGGTCGCTAACTTCGCGAGAGGATAATTCCGTCAGTTTTCCATCAAATTTGTTTTTTTTGGTGTCATTACAATCGGGAAAAGATTCTCTATCATTTCATAAGAAAAAATAATTTGTTTTTTTCAATTTTGCGACACCAAGAGACACCTCAGGATTGGGGGTTGTGACAGTCAAAGGGTTAAAAATTAAACCCTTTTTTTTTTTTGTAATGTTAGGTTTAGTTTGGTTATGTTTGGTTAGGTTATATTAGGATAGGTTAGGTATGGTTAGGTTAGGCTACATTGGCTTATATTGAGTTATATTGGTCTAAGTTTAGTTGGGTTAGGTTCTGTTGCCTAAATTCAGTATTGACCATTGCATTATTAGGTAACCCAACCTAACTTGATATTGATTGATGTAACCTGACCTAGCCCTCCCTCAACTAACCTAACATAACATGATCTAACTAAACCTAACCTAATCTACCATGATTTAAACAAATTTAACCTAATCTAACCTTACCTTAAAATCTCAATTTGCACAAAAAATCTGTTCTGTTGTAAAATTCACTTCATATTATACAGTTTATATTATTAAATATCACTGAACTTCACCAAGCAGCCAAACTTTCTAGTAACAAATTTGTGCATTTGTTTTTACAGGTAACTTCCATTTTGCATTGGTGGGTCACTTGTTAAAAGGTGTTCGTCACCCAGCACCAGCAACTGTGTCTCGCACATCAAGAGTGCTCATCACACTGCTCTCCATTGTTGCTAAACCACATAAGAGAGATAAATTTGAGGTGTGTAAAATATTGCATAATATTTCTGGCTTATAACCTTCTGAAGTTGGTTTAGCTTACGGAAAACAAAGTTTACATTACTGTACTTGTTTATTCATTCTTGTCTCAAATTTTTTTTATTATTTTAACAATTATTTTCTTCTGCTGTTTCAGTTTTATACATTAATTGAAAATGTCTTGGTGAATTTTCTTCTTATTGAATTACTTGTATATTTGTATGACACACCACACGGTAGCATACATGAATATTCATCCAGTCAAGTTTTCAGACACAGTAGCTACTGCTGAATTTATTTTCATGGCAAGGGTGGAGGGAGGAAGTGTGTGTGTGAGGGTAGGGATGAGGGGGAAAGGAGGAAAGGCTTCATCAGTGGATTACATCTTAATAATAAATTAGCCCTGTGGAATTGAGATTGGCTCCTGTTACAAGCAGTTCTTACAATACTGCCAATATAAATGTAGAAGTATTCAACCATGTGATGGATATATGTGGGCCAGTGGGCTGCCATCACCAACAGCCCGATTGACCAAGCAGTCAACGGAACATTCTTGCCGCAGGCCAGGGTGTGAGAGTAGGAAAACTCTCAAAATCAGTCACAGATATATCAGAGGGCAGGGTTTCGAAATTATCTAGAGGCAGAATAACATCATTTGCCTGTAAATTCAGCAATGTTAAAAAATGGTTTGAACTTTGAAAAGGTATTCACAAAGTTTTTGGGGGAAATCTCAAGAAAATATCAAAATTAAATTAAGCTATAGCCATGGCTATGCACATGCTGTGGATTCCATCTCACATTGGTCTTCGGATGCATGATAGAACTGATAAATTGGCTAAGCTGTATGCTTTCAAAGAGGGGGTAGATTACAATCTTGGCTTGTCAGGTAGCAGTTTGAGAACAATAATGCAAAAAGAACTTCAACTGAATTTTGTTGCCTTAAGACTCAGGGAGATTGACACCAGTCAGTCCATCTATCATCATTCTATCATGCAGGAGGAGCCACATGTCTATGGTGCATCCAACAAAATAAGCCGACTCTTGGGTGTTACTACCGCCCGGCTCCAGCTGGGTTACAAATATCTTTTGACAGGTTAAATCACCACCACCAGATGTAGACCAAACGAAATGCAAACTTTGCCAGATGGACTATAGTCACACCCTGCGTCATTATGTACTGGAGTGTGAGAAAAATGAATGAATTTAGAGACAACTCACTCAGAAATGTTCAAGATATGTCAAAGTATTTTATCCACAGTGGTATATTACAGACCATTCTGGAAAAAATACCGACTTTGCTCCCTGTAAATAAAGCATTACCACGTGTGTGTGTGTGTGTGTGTGTGTGTGTGTGTGTGTGTGTGTGTGTGTGTGTGTGTGTGTGTGTGTGTGTGTGTGTGTGTGTGTTTGCATGTATATTTGTGTACTCATATATGTGTGAGTGCTTGTGCTCTTGTACGTATGTATACTTGTGTGTACTCACCTAGTTGTGGTTGCAGGGGTCGAGTCACAGCTCCTGGACCCGCCTCTTCACTGACCGCTACTGGGTCACTGTCCGTGCACCATGAGCTTTATCATGCCTCTTCTTAAAGCTATGAATGGATCCTGCCTCCACTACATCGCTTCCCAAACTATTCCACTTCCTGACTACTCTGTGACTGAAGAAATACTTCCTAACATCTCTGTGATTCATCTGAGTCTTCAACTTCCAACTGTGTCCCCTTGTTACTGTCTCCCATCTCTGGAACATTCTGTCTCTGTCCACCTTGTCAATTCCTCTCAGTATTTTATATGTCATTAACATGTTCCCTGTATCTCTCCTGTCCTCCAGTGTCGTCAGGTCGATTTCCCTTAACCTCTCCTCGTAGGACATACCCTTTAGCTTTGGGACTAGTGTTGTTGCAAACCTTTGCACGTGTGTGTGTGTGTGTGTGTGTGTGTGTGTGTGTGTGTGTGTGTGTGTGTGTGTGTGTGTGTGTGTGTGTGTGTGTGTGTGTTTTTGTGTGTGTACTCACCTTGTGATTGCAGGGATCGAGTCACAGCTCCTGGCCCCGCATGTGTGTGTGTGTGTGACCCAACAATTAATATTTGCATCAATAACTCATTATAGTTGTGACCTGGTGTGAACATGTGAATTGCTCATTACTCTATAATTTGTTCATGATTGTAGCTATATATAAATATAAGTAAGTAAATTTACTTACTTAGATAATTCATTACCTTTGTAACTTGTGATTTCATTACCTTTGTACCTTGTTCATCTATCAAAACTTAGGGGCCCAGTCCCTGGACCCATTATGTACCTCTGTAATCTGTAAATACCTTTGTAATTTGTCATGATTGTGACCAGAGCTGTCTGGAGCTCATTACTTTTGTAACTTGCTCAGCTATTAAAACTTTGGGGCCCAGTCCCTGGACCCATTATGTACCTCTGTAATCTTTTGACTACTGCCCACAAGATGGGTAAGGGGTGCATAATAAACATATTAAACTAACAAACTAAGCCATGGCTGTATAATTGAAGTGAGGCTTTGGAGATTTTAAGTCATAACTGTGAGGCCTGGCCATTATGATAGTTATGACTAAAGCTAAACTGTGATTATAATAATAATTGCAAGGCTCGGCCATGGTGCTAGGTATGATTATAAAGCTTGCTCAGTAACAGTATTCATCGTTGTGATTACTATGATATCATGGCTCAGCCATGATGATACCATAGTCATGACTGTGAGGCTCAGCTATGACACTAGTCATGACTGTGAGGCTCAGCTATGACACTAGTCATGACTGTGAGGCTCAGCTATGACACTAGTCATGACTGTGAGGCTCAGCTATGACACTAGTCATGACTGTGAGGCTCAGCTATGACACTAGTCATGACTGTGAGGCTCAGCTATGACACTAGTCATGACTGTGAGGCTCAGCTATGACACTAGTCATGACTGTGAGGCTCAGCTATGACACTAGTCATGACTGTGAGGCTGACAATAATGATACCTCACTTTCTCTTTTGTAGATTTAATGCAACCTGTTAATATACTGTTTCATACCCTTGAATAGTAACTGCTAAAAATTTTCCTTATTTACAAATTTTTGGTAAAAAATGTAGGATCATGATTATGCAGTACAGTATCATAATATATTGTTCTGCATAATTTTGTATAGTACAGCCAAAATTCCAAATTTGTGATTTAAATTTACATGATTCAATTATGCAACATTTTTGTTTAAGTGTTTCCTGTGAATATCTTGATTTTTTCTATAGTGCCTAATTTGGCATGGCACATGATGCCTGAATTAAAAACCAATCATAGGATTTGCTCAGAATGTACTTACTGGATTTTGCACTCCAGAATCTCCTCTTTCTGGACACTATTTTTCATACAGTTCAGTGTTAATGAGGTTAAAGCAGTATGGAAAGGGACTTGGTTCCTTCAACATCAACTGAACCAAATCTGAGATGAAACTTATTATAGGGACAGACTTGATTGGTATTTTCAGATTCTTGTTTCATGGGAACCTCTGGGACCACACTATGATTTTTGGAGATTCATGAGGAGCTCCATGACCCCACTGTGATTGTGGAGATTCATGAGGACCTTCAGGATCACACTGTGGTTGTGGAGATTCATGAGGACCTTCAGGATCACACTGTGATTGTGGAGATTCATGAGGACCTTCATGATCACACTGTGATTGTGGAGATTCATGAGGACCTTCAGGACCACACTGTGATTGTGGAGATTCATGAGGACCTCCAGGACCACACTGTGATTGTGGAGATTCATGAGGACCTTCAGGATCACACTGTGATTGTGGAGATTCATGAGGACCTTCAGGATCACACTGTGATTGTGGAGATTCATGAGGACCTTCAGGATCACACTGTGATTGTGAAGGTTCATGAGGACCTTCTGGATCACACTGTGATTGTGGAGATTCATGAGGACCTTCAGGATCACACTGTGATTGTGGAGATTCATGAGGACCTTCAGGATCACACTGTGATTGTGGAGATTCATGAGGACCTCCAGGACTACACCTCTTATATTGCAGTGATTAATGGGAATGTCTGGGACCACATGTTTGTTATAGTGGTGATTAATGGGGATGTCTGGGACCACATGTTTGTTATAGTGGTGATTAATGGGGATGTCTGGGACCACACCTCAGTTCAAACCCCCAAAATAAATATTGCTCCCAGTGTCCACTTGAAAAAAAAAGTTCTTCCAAAATGGTAGATAATATTTGTTTGAAGGTAATGACACTAATACAGTATTACAAAATTTGATGGAAATGTTGCAGAATTTCATAGGCACAAAGATAGTGGTTTGGGTGCAATTTATACATTGCTGATTTTGCTGACTTTAATTCCAGTTTTAAGTTACACTGCAACCCCGATTTTCATCCTTAATCCATTCCAGAAGGTCAGTTGAAATCCAAAATGGACGAGAACCAAAGTAATATTTCCCATAAGAAATAATGTAAATCCCATTAATCCATTCCAGACACCCAAAAATATTAACAAAAAATACATTTTATAAAGAATAATGCAATAAAGCAATGGGAAATAAATATAAAGCACTAAGTTTAATGGATTAATGAACATTTAAATAACTTTTACCGTTATTGAAGACTTGTTGGTATATTCTTTACGAGATCCGCATGCAACTGCCTTGCCTTTTCGCAAATTATCACCTCAACAACACTGTCTCCCACTATCTGTTTTTCATTGATCTACACCAGCAACAGCTTCTCAACTTCTTCATTTGTTTGCCATCACTACCATCTTCTACCACCATCACTACCACCCTCTACCATCATCACAACTACCCTCTACCACCATCACATCCAGAACCACCCTCTGCCTCCATCACTATCACCCTCTACCACCATCACTACCACACACTACCACCATCACAACCAGAACCACCCTCTGCCTCCATCACTACCACCCTCTACCACCATCACTTCCACCTTCTACCACCATCACTACCACCCTCT